ATATTTAATATAATATTTTTTATTTTTATTAAATGTAATATAATATTTTTCAATATGTCAAAATGTTGTATAATTAAATGTCTGATACATTAATATACGATTTTGAGCGAGAATATTAATTTTGCGAGATTGCTAAGAATTGATACACTATATTTGTATATTATATTCGAATTTTACACACGTCTCGAAGAAATCGACCATCGTGACTTCGAAAAGATGATAACTGAAAACTGGAAAGGAATGAAGGACATTATGGAAATAATAAGTTTGCATGTTTCGCAGAGAGTAAGGTTTTCCAGAGCGAGATAAAATTTCTGACAACTTGTTCACGCGCCTGCATTGCATGTCACCTGAGAGCTCGCATACTCACCGTGATTTTCTCTTGAATCATCTTTTCGTAATACCGAGTGATATAATCGACCCCAGATTTTCGGTCGCAAACGCACCAACGTGCATCGTGCCACAAACGTGCGGTAAGCATGAGAAGTTTACTTTTACCGTGTCGACTCAAAATACATTGTCGCGAAATCCTATTTCATCGTAACTTTAGCCGCATAGAAGCAAGAAGACAGTATTACACTTAATCTTTTTAAATTAATGCATGCGGTGTATATAGCAGAGACATTTGTTATGCAAAGGAAGTTCTTACTCAAGACATCAAAATGATTCCAAAATGGAAGTCCAGAAGTCACTTTGACTTCTTGTTCCGCTTGGATGTTCTTCAATGCTTTTTCCTCCATAATTTTCCTTTTAATCTGGATTTAATAGAGACATTAAAGTGTAAAACGCGTCCTGAAATTTAAAATTGATCGACCGAATCAAAGGAAGATCATCAAAAGCTCGTCTCTTAAACGTGCTGTAGCAAAGCTGGCGCTCCGGTGGACGCCACTTTTAGCGCACGTTAAAGTTATTTTTGCGCTTATCCCTCTCTTCTTCACGGCTATCGTTCCCGCTGAAAACATAATCCCAGCCACGACGACCACCCTGCGCATTCGATAGATTGCCTTCAGCTCGCGACGTCGCGTAATACGGATCTGTCGCCAGCAGCGCGTCGACTTCAATTTCCCTGAAGTTTCGCGAAATGATGAATCCTATCAGAGCTAACCAGGAGACCCCAGAGGATCCACGAGGGATCCCAGATGATGAGCTGAATCCCGGGCGCTAAACCTATTTCCAGATATACCAGATATCCGGCTCTGTCTATTTGACGCTGTCGTACTCGTGCGAATGAAGCTTTTCTCTTTTCCAGTTTATCAACCCACGTTTACGTCAGCCTAAGCTAAGAAGCTGAGGATCTTTCAAGTTACTCATTTCACAAACATTAATCTATGAATTACTTCTTTCTATGAAAAAAAGGAGAAATTTTATATGATAAAAATTAAGATAATGTAACGAAGCAATGATTTCATATAGAAAAGAAAATGTAAAAATCTTGATGCGAGAATTTTTGACATAGAACGAGAAGGAAGGAAGGAAGGAGAACGATTATCGAAAGAGATGTACGATAGAATCGACTGGCGAAGCGTCGGAGGACCCAGACGACGAGCTCTCGCGTCGAACCTATTTCCAGCTGCGGCTGCGTCCTCGCGACTCATGTCGCTGTACGCTCGTGTCGAATTCTTTTCTTCTGGGTTACCGTTTCGAGACTCGTATGTCCCTATCCACCTCTCGAATCGACCACTTCTTTGTTGTCACCAGCAGGTGTAACGAAAAGAATGAGCTTCCTCGCATAGTGTATTGCTATTATACTATAACACATTTCTGAAATATTTTTAATAAATATACGAAAGAGATATGGCTAGTTCTAAAAAAATCTGATATTATTCACGATATTGAGTAATAATTGACTTTATGAAATTAGCAGGCGTAGGATAAATAAAATAATTTCCATAATAAAAAATTATTTTATTAAATAGACAGTTTTGTAATATGTATGAATTTAGCTGAATACAGATTTGAAATCTTCTTTGGACCACCAAAATAATTATATGGAACGCTCAAATTAATTATTGTCAATATTTTTTTGTAGCATTGTCAACGCTTAAATATTCTACGTTACTTTTATGATCCAACAAAATTATTTTCAGATTTGTGTCGAGCTAAATTTTTAGATACTTTAGCAAAACAATTTTTTCCATATATTTTATGTTATTCGATGAGAGTGAAATTCGGCTCGATATCTCGTTCGTGTAATAATAACACCGAAAACAGTATCGGCATCTTGAGAGCCCTAGACATTCTTTCGGCCAGAAATCTAAAATTACTCATATCCACTGTGCGGGGGAATGTTTTTTCCGCCTTTAGATTCAAATTGGACGATAAATAAGCAAATATTTTTCTCCAAGTTCTCCTTTTTTTTGTATTTATGCATAACATTGAGTTATGTGTATTTATGTAAAGTTATAATAGCATTGAGATGTGTGTATTTATATAAGATTTCAATGCCGAAGACCATTATTGTTATAATGGTCAAGATATCAGATTTCTTAGTTTGTGCGAATTTCAAAATGTCACGATGTTTTCTAAGCGGTATAAACATTTTAGACATTTTAAACAACTCAAGCTAAAGAATTTCATGACCACTTCATTTAAATAACTACATTATTCACAA